ATTATTTATACATAGAGATACATTTGTATCTGGTGGGGGGCTGAGTCATAATCGAATAGCTTTCAGCCAATCAGAAGCATGTCTATCCATGTATCGGTCAGATGCAGATTACTGTACTTAAATTGAAGTCAGTTTCAGTGGGGAGATGGAGATACGTGACCATTAAGCGATAGACAATTTCATGGGGCAACTAATTGTATTTGTGTATCTTTTGGATGCAGCAGATACTCTGCTGAATGAAATCGAAATGTGTTAATAGATCCATCTGTCCGTGGAGCACACTCCCAAGCCGCTTAACTATCAATTACGTGACCAGCAACTCATCAAAGCAATCGCCAATCGAACGGAGTTAGCTCCGTACAGCAATTCTACTCGTATCATTCGTCCAGAATGAAATCGAATGGAGTTTCTGCTCAAATTCATGTGTAAATCGTACCGTAACAACATGTCAACACTTCAGACAACAGACACTCACCCCCACCCCCGACCCAACAACACTCATCGCCCGCCCTCTCTCTTTCTGTCCCCCTCGCTATTTCTTAGTTAAGCCTATTAAATGCCCCAAACGCTTTGTTGTACCGTCTTGGTCTCTTTTGGGCCAAGTCGCCTGTCTTTGCCGTCTGTCCGTTTATTTGTTTGCCTTTTGTGTTTGTCTCTTTATTTGTAATAAATATGTTTGGCCAAAGAGTGAGGTAGGTGGGGATACGGCTTGGCTCTGGCAGACGGAGGGAGTACTCAGTACTGGACGAAGGTTAGTTATTAATTTCACAAGTTTTGTCTCAGTTTTTCCACACTCCCTGGCGATTATCAGGTTACATAATTGTCGCATTGTCGTATCCTCATCCTCCCCCATTTTTATGGACTGTAATTATCGCGCACATCGAATGCCTTTCCTTGGTTCGATTTGTAGGGTTTCCCCTTGGCCTATCCTATCATCAATAAGGATGAGTATAGCCGTAGAATGGCAAAAGCAATTCGAAAAGTCAACCCACGCCGAGGGTCGGTCGGTCGGTCGGTCTGTCCGTCTGTCGGTCTGTAATTGAGTAATTTCCACTTGAATTTCCCCTTTCAGTGTGTGTTTTCCTTTGCGACTTTGTGTGGGATTTCAACAGATTGAAACGAAGGACTTCCAGTCGGTATCTTGCACTAGGTATCTATTTCCCTTTCGCCTGTGCCTGTGCCTCTGCCTCTGCCTGTGCTGTGGTCTTGGTCGGCTTTAGGGATTTCTGTGGTGGCATTACATTTAATATAACAAGAATTTAGTTTCGTCTCCGCTTTGGGCTTCCACTGTGGTTAGGTTGGGTGGTGTTGCTGGGTAGAAAATATGCTAACAAGTTGAGCTTCAACCAAGCCCGCTCCCGCTCCCGCTCCCGCCCCCGCCCCCGCCACAGATCAAGCGTTTCTTGCACTTTCTGGCAGCGTGACGCGTGTGAATTTCAATTTCAATTCGAAATTTGGTTACAATGATGCGGCCCTTTCTGCGCTCAACTGTCATAGTGGGCCGCGGAGGGAGTGGTGGAGGGAGCGGTGGTAAAACAAATACAAAAAAAACTGACAAATAACTGAACAGAACCGAGGGCAATAATGATGCTGCAGTCATGAGATACGAGACGTGCCTCCAGCAGCCAGCCAGCCAGCCAGCCTGCCTGCCCGTACCTTGATAGAATTTCAATTTCAATTTTCGGTGAGCTGGCTGCAATAAAAAATCTATTAAATTTCCATCTAATCACAAAAGCAATTAATCATTGACACTATTTAGGCGCTTTTTCTATGCTTATTAGATGGCAGGGGGGGACGACGACTGGGAGTGAGACTGAGACTGAGACGCGGACAGAGACGGATAGAGAGCTTACAGCAATGGGTGCTGCTGCTTTGTTATGCTGATGCCATTGTTGCATATCCAGGAGATACAGATACGGATACAGATACTCGTACTCGTACTCAAATAAAGATACAAATGTGTGTAGAAGGCGACAGGCCACGTAATTACAATTCTTTTGGCATGTATAATAATAAGTTACCGCGGTCATCACCACACCACACAACACCACACAACAAAACAACACAAAGATCGTGTGTATAAAAAGATATTGTATCTGCATCTCGGCTGTGGCATCCGTGCGCTGCCTGAGCGACATTGAATTATCACATTGCTCTCATCTCGTCTCCTCACCCATCTCAAACGCCTTATTCGGCAGGGTACGATACGGTACGGAGCGTATGGATTGGTTGACAAACTACAAAATAATAATGTGGCATTCATTGTCAGTCAAAGGCAGGGGTAGTGCAGAGCTGTGGGTAGGGCGGGGAGGGCAGCCAGTTATTGTCATGCAGAGACAAGATATTTACACAATTACTCGAGTCGACTCTCGGGATCGAACACATCACACGATGAATATACGAGTAAAGATTTTCCATTTTGAATTTACGTACAAAGCTAATTTATCATTTCGTCGGCTCCGTCCCCGTCCAAACTGTAAAAAACTCCGTGATGTTTTGTCCCGCTGAATGGATGCCAATATTTTTCAGTTCAGTTCAGTTCAGTTGAGTACGGCATTATAACCGCAAAATAAATAACAAACGATGACTGCCATGGGACCCCCGAACAGGTCCAAAGCTGAAGCCAAACCCCTCGATTGAAGCTGTCAACGGGTACGCACAATAAAAACCTTTTGTCCGTCAACTGCGTGAGATACTTACAGGCCGAGACTTTCTGGCTGGTCAACTGCATTCGAGCAGGAGAAGGTAAAGATGCCCGGCATGGGTATGCCCAGCGAGAGGGGGGTATGGGTATGGGTACGGACATGTGCAAGTGCCTAATTATGTGGCCAAGTCAATTTGTTCAGCGTCCGACCCATTGCGAGCGGGGTCTCCACTGGTCTCTCTCTCTCTGCTTTGTTTGACTTTTCTCGCTGCGGGCAAACAATAAATGTTTTGTAGTGATTAAAAAGTAGTGTGAAATCGATTATATATACTCACATTAACCAGCCAGTCAGACCCGACCAGACCAAACCAGACCCCTTTCAACCTCCTCCTCCCCCTCCTCCTAACCCTCGCTGGACCGGATATGCCCAATCCCAATCCCCGCCCCAGTCAGGCTCCGGCTAGTGTCAATATTGAATCGACTTTAGCGATACATGTTAATTCCTGTTAATCGTTGCGTGTCGGGTATTTTTGATCTCACGACTTTGTCCAGGGAATGTCCACAGGCCCCGATGCATGATATTGATTCATAGATCCAAGCGAGGGTTAACTAATATTTGATTTCTTTAGTATCCCCTCATCTGCGGCGCTCGTACGCCAGCGAACGTCTACTTCCGCGAATAGACCAGTGGAAGACCAGCTAATATGATTAGAAGCCAAAGATCTTTGGTGGTGGAAAGTTGATCACGAGCACTAGAATTTCTAAAAAGCAAAGAGGAAACTCCCAGCTACTTCCGGGATTCCAACCAGTCCCCTGGAACTGCTTCCACCATGTCGAAGCCATTGCACAATGCCATCCTCAATTACAGTGCCCACAGGCCGATGATTGTGTGTTGTCTCCTCCAGGCAGCAGGCGCAACTCACGACCATCGATATGCAGACGCAAGCTGCCGAGCTTGCCTGGCCTTCCTTCATGCCAAGGTGGAGGAGATTAAGGAATGACAGACAAGACCCTGAAGAATATCCTGGCTCGAGGTGTGCTATGTTTCCGCTGTTAAATCCAATCAAAAATTAACGCTAATTTGAACATTTCTCAGTGGCGCCAATACGGAGCTTTAGGTAAGTTAAAAGCTTTCACTCTTTGCAACACTTGGGGCAACATTTCTGGCAACATATTCACAGCATTCGAAAAGTTGCGACGCATTTAAAATTCAAACTCAGTTCAAAATTGTTCTTTAAATGAAGTAAGGCACGAACCAAAATTGTGCCTAGAGCTGGCAAATCATCGATTCGTGAGCAGCAGCAGAACACTTTCCTATGCACTCCCCTGAATTAAATTCTCAAATTAATTACATTCATAACTAACAACAGTTTATTAAATAATTCAACGAAAATCGTTTGGTTATGCTTAAGATAAAAGCCTAAAAGTATGCCCTTAATTGTACATCCAACGATTTAATGGCCATAAAGAAAAGACCATGAACAATTTTTGTAACGGTTCCGGTAGCTCCAACAAGTTAACGAGCTCATATAATAACCAAATTCAGTCCAGCCGCAACAGAAGTATATTCAATGTACAATGTACGAGTGCTGCAATTTAGCCCATATCTCGGGCAAATTTCTCCTCCAATAAATTCCCCCGAATACAATGGCTGATAGAGAACGAGCCTCCCACCTACCCAATGCGGTCGTAGATAAAATAGAATCTCTATGGCACTACCCTAAAACCCCCATGGCCCCCCCAGCCGAACGCCATCAAATACGAGCATTACGAATATTGATCTTTGCCTCAGTGTGGAGTTGACATTGGAGATCTGCCGCGTTTCATCGAAATATCTATACATATATATTCGTAGATAAATATCATTGAATTGCTCTGCAAACATGCACTGCGAGAAACGAAAAAAGTTAATTGCTGAATGTGTTTTTGTGCCGTGTACGAGAACGAGTATCCAAATCAATTACGTGCCCAATTAGATGAGTTGCCCAAAATGTGGAAAGAACACAGCAATTCAATGTGTGGGGCAGGGGCGGCGAGGGGAATTCCCTTGGCGACTATCTCCGATACAGCGGGGTTTGGGGGAGGGTAAATCTGTATAATCAAAACAGAAAACGAAAAAACGCGACAGCAACAAGTGGAAGTGCTGTAGTTCAGGCAGCGGAGGTACCCTCCAATGAGTCCAAATCGAACTTAAATAGCAAAGTGTCATCGTACGGGGCACAAAATGACTCTGCATAGTATATACCCTTTCTGATCGGCTCTTGAATAACCGCACATATTGTTTTCGTTGGTTTTTATGGCCTGCCTTGTGCCATTCGCGATATATTTGATGGGTATTGTGTTCCGTGGTTGGTTAAACGGCGACAACGGTTACTCTCTGTCTGTCAGTCGGTCGCAACGGTTTAGCTGCCAGTTCGAAGGCGAAATACAAACACGACGCAGTGCAGCGCATGCAGATACGATACGGAAACAGAAGCAGATACAGATACACCGTCCGAGAGTCGAGAGTTGAGAGTCCGATACGCAGCGCGACACGCAGTGACCAGTGAAGTTTCGCACAGCACAGCGCAGAATTTAATTCAGGAAAATTAGCATAACGAGCGGGGATTTGATTCAGGTCTGTCAAGTGGCCTGCACAATTCGAGTACAATACAAATACAATAAAAAGTGTGAAAGTGTAAAGAATGTCTGTGCAACAACAGCCGCAGCAGCTGCAGCATGCAGTGTCCACAATAGCTGCAAGTGCCAATCAACAGCAGAAGACGGCAGCCCCAGGAGCAGTACCAGGAGGAGCGGGAACCATAACCATGCCATCCAGTGCCAAATCAAAGCCCAAAAGGTGCGAGCTACTGCAATTTCTATTGCCCCAAAATTTGTTTCTTTTATCATTTTATTTGACCCACATTCGGTGCCACGTTGCGTATACGTCACGTGAATAAGTGCTGCGGCCAGAAATGTATTTTTGGCCATACTCAAGAGCCAAGAGAGCACAAAGAGCGCGAAAATAAAGAAGTGTAATGCAGCTGAACGAACAAGTGTTGCCTTGCCTATTTGTTTATTCACATTCAGTCCTCGGATTTTAGCCGCCAAGCCAACCAGTTTGACGCGTCGGGCCGGTTAGCCGAGCTGCGCCAGACGAAAATATACGTATTGTGGCAATAAGTCATGTGGCCAAGTCTGGCCCGAACTCCAACACGCAAATGCGAATGCGAATGCGCACCCGAAGTGATTGCGATTATGTGGCACAAAATAGACGGGAGGCAGCTTTATGGAACAATCTGCAAATCCATAAAAACTTTTCAATCCATTCAACATTGGATTCGCTTCGCTTCGCTTGGGCTGGCCCAAGCCGAGGATTTCATTGAGCTTATTTATTAATTGTCTGAGTTAAATTGCTTCTACCTCAATCGATGGCATCTTTTGTTGGTGTATAATTTATTGGCAAACTTCAAATAATTTGCCGAATGATCGTCTATGCAAATCATTGAGTGCATGTCTCATACGGTGCGCGTCATAAGCTTAAGCATAAACACTCGGTGTGGCGCGATAACAAAGTCAAGGCCCTCCTGACGGCGGAAGCGTCATGGAAATCCGCCTTCCGATAAACTTTTCCCACCGCTGAACAGTGACGTGCTAGTGTGTCGTTAAGTGTTATCTGAAATGAGTTCAATCAAAATATTCCAGCACGCCCCCTCTCCCAAAGCCAAGCCAACGCCATCGGAGCTTTCCGCTTGGGTGAGGTGTGGGTGAGGTTATGGAATCTTTGGGTAAGTTTTTCAATCAGAGCAGCCATAAAGGTAGGTATTAATCAAACAAGTGGATTACTTTACCCCTTTTCCCTCTCTATCTCCACCTTAATAGTTCTTATCAATAATAAAGGCATGGCACTTGAATCGGATTAGGTTGCGGTTTGGAGGGTGTGCAAGGTGTGTTTTTAATTGCTTTGATAATTAAGTTAGATGGTTGTTAACTATATATATCACTGTATTGTTTCCCTTACACTTAGTCTGAAATCTTCATCCAAATAGAGACTAGCACCACGAGCAAGAGCACGACTTGCTTGCTTCTTACTCCACTTCGCTCTGACTTCCGCTCTGAGAGACTTTATTTTACGCAAAACAAATGTTTGCTCAAAAGCCAGATTTAACGCTGAGAGTATTACTATCGCTCTGAAAGCTCCCATCTCTAGCATCAACAGCAAAATCTAAATCTGAAAGCTAAAAGCTGACGCCGACGACGACGCTAAAGCTGACGCTGACGCCAACGCTGACGCGAACGCTGATAAGCCCACAACTTTTACCAACAGCGCTGCCTGTAGCAAGTACTCGCCATGGTGTTCGCCGAAGCTGAGGCGAAGCCAGCGCAGACGCCGCCACTTGGCGTTCATTCACAGTCGATCGTACTCGTAGAGCCGCAGGCCCTGGCGTTCAATAGCAAACAAACGATCGAATCGAATCGAACATAGCGCAGGTTAGTTCTACTCTCTGCGTATGCTGTCCCCAGTGCGTGGTTTGCTTGTACTGCGAGTGTTTCTGCGAGAGAGTGTGTGTGTGTGTGTGTGTGTGTTAATTAATTAGCAAACTAGTCTTAAGTTTTGCTAATTAAAATAAAATAGTAAGGAAAGCCAACGCTGTCGCGCAGCCAGCTGCGGATATTTTTGATATAAAAAGGTTTGCCAGTGCATTGACAGCGACAAGTGTGTTTTTTTATAGCATAACGCGTTTCGAAATTCGCGCTTTATTTCGGACTGCTTCCTGGGTAAAAGACGGCGTAAAGTTTACTGTATTTTAAGCTCAACATTCAGTTGTAAATGAAAATATTTGAAATTTTAATTCAAAGATAACGTGTGTGTGTGCTTTAGATTAGAGATGTAAATATATTCAAATATTGCACAGACGTCTGGTCTATGTTTTGGCTTTTTCCATTCTGTCCAACTTTCCCACTTCGAAGTTTGGGCACTTTTTGTGGATTCAGCGGGGGCTTGATCCGATAGCTACAAATGTACTTTCCCACTTTCAGCCCATGGCTGAGTGCCTTGAATAGTGATCAAACCATTGGAGAGCAATCGGAAACACCTAAGCACACATCGCTTGCACATTTATTAATATTGTTGTTTATCAACTACCGCATTATTGACTTGTAATTATGTGCATTATTTAGCATTTAAAGCCCACAAGCCACATGATTGAGGCGAGCCTGCAGCACGTGGAAAACACATCGACAGCGATCCCACAATTACGCAAGCAACAGACACTGAACTGTAATTAGAGGGTGGTTGGGGAGGGGGAGCACAAGGAACTGGAATCATTGAATAGCCATTAGCTTTATATTCTGGCCAAGACTGAGGCAGCGTAGCGCATCACGAATTATTCTCATAATATTTTTTCTTCCTCATTTGACATTCATGAAACACAATTTCGAGACAATTTTCGAGATGCTCGCCTTGAGCAAAACAATCTCCTAACCGGAGAATGTTTATTTATAAAGAATTATGCCAAGTCTTTTTGGTGTTTGGAAAACTTTCATACAAATACCCCGACCCCGTACTGTGTAGGCTGTTGTTCTACTTTGCCGGGGTATTTATACACGTTCATTTTTTTTTTCATATACTCTATACTCGTTCAGAGTGGAATGGAATGTACGGGTACGGGTACGCGCTCCGGCTACGGGTACGGGTGTTGCCCAAGAAAAACTGTTGTTTTTGTATACTAATTAGAAGGCGGCTTGTGTGAGGAAGTCTTATCAAAAATATCATTGAAAAATAAGTATGGAAACACTTGATTGCCGGGGTCACTTGATTCTATCAAAAATAAAAATGCCTGATAAGTAAACAGCCACACAGACACACAACTCCCATCTACATATGTACATATGTATGTTAGCATGTTGCCAACTTAGTTTCTGGGACTTGGATCATGCGATTTTTGCATTTTTCCACTAATATTCTGCTGAGACTTTGAGCGCACATTTGCTGGGTAAATGAAATGAAATGAAATGAATGGTAAATGAATGAATGAAAACCTCAGAGAAATTGAATCTTACATAAGCTGGACACATGCCTTTGATTATACCAAACGCCCCTTCAACCATCACCCATCACTCATCAGATCTTTGGGGAATTCAATCACGGGTTGCTCGATAATCGCCGCTAATCAAATTTGATAAACCAATCCCATCAATTCATAGCATCGCGTGTTACCCTGCAGGAGTTAGTGACTCAATTAATCTGATTTGGCCATAAATATAGCGTCATCATATGATCGACGAACAGGTTTAACACGGAACACATTCGATCTAGGGCTCAAATTGGGACAGTCAGGTGTCAAATATGGTTCTGCCTGCCTGTCTATTAACTCTGTTTGGTTAAATCATAAAAGGTAGTCAGCATCTCATCTGTGAGATATTTCACAGTCTGTTGATGTCATTCAATCCCACACCACACAATGCCATTGTTAAGATTCAATTTGTGCCTGGCAAACCGTAACAGAATGTTGCCTCAGAAGGGAATGGAAATGAGTTTGGTTCGATGCTCAATTCTCGCCTCTATGAGCTGATAATGAATGCTGCCAGTGATCATGGGTTATCAATCAGGTCTCAGCCGTCATTGATCAAAGTTTAGTCTCAATTTAATTCAAGTCGCTGCCACTGGCGCTGCCGCTGCGATACGCTTGAAATTCTTTGCACACTTCTCGTTGCATAATTTATAGGTTGACTATGACTATACGGCTGTACGAGTATTTGTGTCAGGTCTTATCGCCCCCTCCACACTACTGGACTGCTGTTGACAGCAAGTATCAGATGAGCTGCATTTATACGGCTCTACTACGTATAAATAGAAATAGAAATAGAAAGAGCAAAATTAAGTTATATACTGAACTTCTTGATTAAGAACCGAATCGGACCATAAATTTCCATTGGTTGACAGGCCAGTAGCCTAGGTCAATGTTGAATTTCATTTCAACGATTGATAACACGAAGCTTGGGGAATGCACTGCACGGCCCATTCATGCCACATTCAGCCACCAAGCGATGTAGTAATTGTGGAATTTTCTAACTACTTTCCCTTAATCTGTAAAATGAACTCAAAAGTGGACACGCGCTGCCAGCCTTCAGACTGGTTGATAAGCCCACAGATTCCTCTGTCGTAAACTAATTTTAAGCACATAAAATACATACATATGTGTGTGTGTGTATGTATGTAAAAAACCTTCAGAAGTCCAGCACATGACTGACTTTGAGACCTAGAACTTGTATTTTTTTTTGACAAAATGTCAGGCGAGGTGTTTTTGGGCTGTAGACCCCACCACCACTTGGATGTCTTTCTTTTTCGGGAACTCTTTTATCACGCCCATAAATTGTTTTTGGCTGAGCGTCTATTAACACCAAGATAGCGCTTTCGGGCTGATGTTGCGTAATGGCAGCAACCAAGAAGCGTAGCAAAAGAAACGTCAGCAGTTGCGATTCCACTGATAAGCCGCCAGAGATAAGAGTCTTTTAGGTTTAAGGCGGTGTGTTCGAAGAGGTGGGCATGGGAGGAGGGGGTTCAAGATCAATGGAACTACTGGAAGGTGTGGGGGCAGGGGAATGGGAATGCCAACTATAGCTGCCGCTCGTGCCTGCCTAGTATAATGAGCTTAATTATTTCCAAGACGACAGAGACCTGGAAACAGGCGGCAACAGGCGGAGTGCGATAGGCGTATCTACATGCATACATACGAGTATATCTACAGATATGTATCATATGTAGGTATGTATGGATGGGCTTCAATAGGTCGGAACCCAATCATTATCGGACTTTGAAGCACTCATAAAAAGGGAGCAATGTCAAAAGTCTGACGAGTAAATCCGATTTGGGCTCAATTATGACCAAATTCAAATGTGTGTCAACTAATTCGATGTTCGAACAGACACACAGATAAAGCCAGAGGCCTATCCCAGCCACAGCTCGCTATCAGGCACTTTGAATATGTTGCCTGGCTGATGGCTAATGGCTCATGGCTCATGGCCCACAGAGGCGTTCATATTTATAGCCAACAAAGTTTAGTGCCCATAGCAAAAAATCACTTCTTAAGCAGTCGGCAAATACGAGTCTATCAGCGACTATCGATGGAGCTTATCAGCTGCGATTTGATTAGTGGTTCTTCAGTTCAGCAGCGTTTTATGGCGGGAGCTTCTGGCGTAACTTTAATATGAGGTGATAGCCCGTAAAAGCTGCGATAAGGAAAGAACTAAAGGAAAGCTCACAATCAGAATTATCAGTAAAGCTTCAGAACTTTGGGCAGGCTACAAAAAAGCTGTTCCATGTTCAAAGGGAAAGCTCACCGCCAAAGCTATTCCATTCCATTCCAGTCGCACTTCTACGCTAATTATTGGAATCAACTTCCGCAGCAGATCGATCGATTGATCGATCATCTTTTCGATTCCCCCTCTCGTGGCACGTTCCGTCACTTAGCTAAACACTAAAGATACATATATAATCTATAATAATAAATAATGCAAAATAATTCCATTGGCTCTGTGCTGAGATTAACATCAATTAGAGGCCCTGCGGCAAGCCAAACCCAAACCGAATCGTGACACATGAAGCGATCTCATGAAAGATACGTGATCCTTCTGGGCATGGGCATAGACATGAGGCATGGTCTCAGATTAACACAAAAACCGCATAAGCTAAGCTAAGACAAATATACAAATGCAAATTCAACACGGGCGCTCAGGTGGTAATTAAATTATTAACATTCGATGGGGAGAGAAGGAGATCAAATCCGTGTGATTTATTTATAAACTTTGCCACCATCGCGTGTTTATTGTTTTGACTTTGCTCTCACTCTGTGCGCCTTTTGCCAAAACGTGTCGCTCTCCTGCCACACGCACCACACTTCATCCTTCGCGCCCCTTCGGGCCATCTGTCAATGAGTTGGACAAACAAATGCTCTTGGCCACAGGCCAATAGTTTTTCAGCCGTTTTCTCCATGGGGGTGTGGGCTCTGCAACTGAAAATAATAAAGGCAAAGGAATGGCGATAAGCGAAGAGACGAAGACGCAATGTTGGGCGAGGTTAGTGAGGGTTCACTGCGGTTAATTGCCATTCAGAGATGGAAAATACTATATATGTATGCCACATGCAAGAGATCACCTGGGTTATCGTGACACGAAACGACACGACACGCTTATGCAATAGATTTGTTTTCGACATATTTATTTATAATTCATTTTATTGCCACTTCAATTGCTATTGAGACAGTTGAGAGTAAATTGCGTGCAATGTGATCGACAGGCGACTGAGATTCAGCTGTGATTTGTTTGGCCACATTGCGTAGTGATGTGTGGTGTGCCCTGTGTGCCGTGCCCTGCCACGCAATTTCAATTGCAATTGCAACAATTGTGCGTTGTAGGCCGCCGCAATTGATACGATGACAGGCCCCAGCACCAGCCCCAGCCCCAGCACCAGCACCAGCTCCGGCCATGGTAATTGATAGTCGGTCCACTCACCCACCTTCTGCTCTTCACTCCAATCAGTTATCAAACTGCACAGTGCACAGATTCAATTGCCCCACCCCATCTGGGAGATATACGAACTCGCATAGTACTCGCCCCACAACAGGGAGCGGGAGAGATATACAGTGCGGGCTCCAGAGCTTCTAGAGAGTGACTAAGAGAGAGAGAGAGAAACGAATGAGCATTTAAGATGCTCATATATTCTGGATACTTGACTTTTTTAATGCTCCCCGAGTAGGATTTGTTGCTAATTTTCAGACGGAACCCCATCCATGGCATGCCAGTGTGCGTGTGTGTTTGTGTGTGTTATTTCGCTTCTCTTCTCTCGCGTAGCAGCGGCTAAAAATGGGCTTTTGATTTACGCAATATCATATAGATATAGATATAAATATTTGTCTATGGCTACTCCAACGCTTCAGATTGACATTGACAGTCCCCACTGTCGCTTTGTGCATTAAGTATCCGTCGCCTCAAAGCGGTCGTCGAACGGAAAGAATTTTCGAAAAATAAATAGATAAAAAATATATAAATACTTTTTTAAGTGTCAGACAAGCACCCACAATGGCTCGCGAGTGTTGGGATCGGTAAATATCTGCGACAAAACAATACCCCAATTGGCAGGAAAACTCTCTCAGTATAACCTCAAAATAAATATTCTAAAATCCTTTGCGGTGCGCCTTATAGTATGTGAGAGAAATCTTAGTGAGTTATTTGCGCACAGTTCATATAAATGGCTTAATTACAATCGAAATTACAATCTTGGATCACCACAAACTCCAGTCTAACTTTCGAGTGGCAGAGCACCTGCCCACGCCATCCCTTCCACCTGATAACACTCACAAATAGATTTGTTATTGTTTTAATGTCTTTGTTATTGACACTCTTTGATTTCTTCATTTGGTTTCTTTTTTTGTGACAATTTATCTACGATTTTGGACAGCTGAATGGGCAATCAAAATATGTCCGTTTAGCTCGCGGGTACTCCACGATTATCTTACTGCCAGCCATGTCAGTTTCAGTCCTCACCTTCAGTCTCTTTATGCCCACGACAAAGTGTACATCGTGTGTCTGGGCCCAAAGTCATTGCTTGAAAAATCGATGTCATGTCATCGCACCGTGAACAGGAGCAGCCGCAGCTTCAGGGGGTGGTGGGAGGTCACCCCCCAGAGTTAGACCCCGCGGAGGAACAAATGAAAAGGTCTCGATAAAAACTTCAATTCAATAGAACTACAATCGACTGCAGATAATGTGCGCGGGGAGATTAACTTTAATTGAAAAGCTTTAATGAAACGATAGGATATGATACAATGCCAAATGATTGATGAAGCGAAGAGGTTCGCCACATGCCAGAGAGAAACAGAGGGAGAGAGTTAGCGAGAGAGAGAGAGAGAGAGAGGGGTTGAAGTTCTAGCTACTCGGTTTTCCGCTTCGTGTGCGCTCTTTTATGATGTATGATTTTTACCGATTTTAGTTGCTTGAAAGTATTCAAAATGAAGGGATCTACGCTGGACAAAATCTGCTGCTTCCTGGCCGAACTCATCGGCACGGGCATGCTCATCTTTCTCGGCTGCATGGGCTGTGTGAAGACGGATCTCTTCCCCAACAATCACCTGCAGATAATACTCAACTTCGGTCTGGCCGTCATGATCTGCATCCAGTGCTTCGGCTGTGTCTCCGGCGCTCATCTCAATCCGGCCGTAACCGTGGCCGCCTACATCTACGAGCTGGTCACACTGCCCATGGCATTTGTCTACTTTGTGGCCCAGATGCTGGGCGCCTTCATTGGCTACGGCCTGCTGAAGGTTCTGCTGCCCGAGGACACCCTCGGTGGGGGCGCCGGACTGTGCGTGACCCTGCCCCACAGCAGCGTGAGCCATGCTCAGGCATTTGGCATTGAGTTCGTGATCACCGCCATTCTGGTGATTGTCTGCTGCGGCGTCTGGGATCCACGCAACTCCAAGTTCCATGACTCGGTTGCCATTCGCTTCGGTCTGGCCATCTCCTGCCTTGCCTGCGCTGCCGTAAGTTCCATCCTGCATCATCCTGATCCTGCCAGTTCTCCGTCTAACATTTTTGCTTCTTTTAGGGTCCCTTCACCGGTGCCAGCATGAACCCGGCCAGGTCCTTTGCGCCTGCCCTTTGGAACGCCCACTTCGATTCCAACTGGATCTACTGGCTGGCTCCACTCAGCGCTGCCGCTGTGACCGCCTACGCCTACAAGGCCGTCTTCCGGCGGGAGGTGGTGGAGGCAGAGATCACCAGCCACGAGAAGCTGCGCCAGCTGGAGGATGTGCAGCTCTCGTAGAGGAGGAGGCCGAGCATGCCAAAGACATTGCAACTACATTTAACTTTAAGCTAAGACAGCCGAATTTTATATTAATGCAATATAAAGCCTTCGACAAATAAAGAACATCGAGATTTTTAACTATTTTAAAGAACCCGAAGAGCCAGCGTTTCTCATTATGCATTTAACTTTAAGTGCTGATCAGTGAGGGAAGTTAGGCGGAGATAACAAACTCAAGGTGCTCAGAATTATTCCTGCCGCTGAGACGTGGCTGGAACGTGGCTGGAACGTGGCTGGAACGTGGCTTGTGTCCCTACTAATGTCATCCACAGGTTCCCCTTAGCCATTGGCTTAACTGAGGTAGCCTGACTAACTTTAGCTCACTCAGGAGCCAGTCCGACCCTGTCTATGCCACACAGAGCGTGTGTTGTCCAAGGTTCGGCGCCACATTCGCCCTCTGATTAAGATCTTAATGATTTGTGATAAGATTAAGGACAAATCGCGACAAATGCTGCTGGCCAATCAGAAGGTGGCACTACGCAGTGGGGCAGTCAGTGAGTGGGTTTATCAGGCCGATAATTACAGCAGCAAAGCCGCGAAAAAATGCTCTTTGATTAATTGACCTACCAGGAATGGGCAGGGGCAACGGACAGACAGAACAGGGCCACACTGCTGTGTGGCATTCGAACTACGCGCCTCTACTCGGAAATATCCATATGATAATTAGCATTAAGGTTTTATAATTGATTTTGATTGATTGGAGACAATTTAAAGTCACAGGCCCCTCGACAATATGGCCAAGTCAGTGGGCCAGGAAAAGTCTAGGTGGCAGTGGCAGTGGCTGGGGCTGTGGCAGTCGAGTTCAGTCAGCATGTCGCAACAGAAGCCAAAACAACCAAGCAGTTTCGACACACCCTCCGGCAGCCGATGGCGACTCCAGCCGAGGCACAGGAATCGAGTGGCCGCCTTTTTTGGGGAGCTGGTGGGCACAGCCATGTTCGTCCTCATCGGCTGCATGGGCTGTGTCCATACGCCGCTTTTCACCAACTCGTTCTTCCAGAGCGGCCTCACCTTCGGCCTGGCCCTCCTCATAGCCGTCCAGTGCTACGGCTCTGTGTCCGGGGCCCACCTGAATCCAGCCATCACCTTGGCTGCCACCCTCTACGGCGTGCTCCACTGGGGCATGGCCATTGCCTATTTTGTGGCCCAAGTGGCGGGCGCTTTCATCGGCTTCGGCTTGCTGGTGGCCGTCCTCCCCTTTAACGCGATCAAGGGCGTGGACAACCCGGCAGGTGTTTGTGTCACACTCCTCTCCAGCGACATCTCCGTGCTGCAGGGTGTGTTTATTGAGTTTTTGCTCACCTGTTGCCTGGTGATGGTTGCCTGCTCGGTGTGGGATCCCCGCAACACCACGCTCAAGGACTCGGTGCCCATTCGCTTCGGTCTGACAGTCGCCTGTCTCATCCTCACAGGGGTTAGTATACACCTGGCAACAGGCAGTAGAGACTGATTGAGACAATCTGATTGGCATTTTCGGTTTCTTCTCCCTCAGGGCCAGCTAACCGGCGCCAGCATGAATCCCACCAGGTCCCTGGGTCCTGCTGTGTGGAACGATTCGTGGCAGCACCATTGGATCTATTGGGTGGGTCCACTCGTGGCTGGCGCTGTCACCTCGCTCATCTACCGATTCGCCTTCAAGGATGACGAGGTGATCGAGCTACGCAACTCGAATGCCAAAATTCGGGTGATCGAGGAGGTGGCACTGCCCTAAGTTGTTGCCTGTTGCCTGTCGCTAGCTCTAGTTTTAGAATTTTAAGTGTTTCCAATAAAGGGAATTAATCGTTTTCCATAGCATACATTTGGGTGGGTTGGCAGACGAAACTCTGCCGATTTTAGTCGGACTAAAATATTGATAAGGCTGAAAAACCCTGGCCAGAGATATGAGCAAAAGATGTCTCAATTGAAACACTATCACTAATCGTAATATGGCAATTGAAAAACATATTCGAGTGTGTCACTGAGATAAGCAGAAGAAGGCTTACCGCACAGCGGGAACTCTCCCCCTCCGACTAGACACTGCCATGGAATAATTCCACTGCCCTCGAGTTAAGTTCGGCAATGCCTTAAATGTATATTAATTAAGTAAACAGCAGCGCCACCGATAGCTGGCCGTAGCGATTAGGAATCTTGATAGTTGATTGCTGTAGTATGCCGCAGATTAAGGCGCGCTGATAGAGTAAACGTAGAGTATCTCTCCTTCCCATTGAGTACTCGAGGCGCTAAGTCAGGCACTTCTCAGTTCTCAGTCCGAGTCGAAGCTCGTTGCAGTTAAGGTGAACCGCAGAACACTCGTAGCTCTCCAGACATGGCCAATACAAGCACGAGGTGCGAGGTGCCATACAACAAATACATACACATGTAGTCTTATATATCCATCATATATCCTGTGACTGATATCCCTTTTTTTGTGTCTTGCAGTCGCTCGTCCTGCTGGCTGCTGCAGCCGCGGCAGCTGAACAGCATTTGCATCGTGTTCGCCGAACTGATTGCCACGGCCATGCTGATGTTCCTCGGCTGCATGGGCTGCATCCAGAACTCGTTCTTCTCCAATGGCCATTTCCAGTGCGCGCTCAACTTTGGCTTCGTTGTCCTGATCTGCATCCAGTGCTTTGGCTGCATCTGCGGTGCCCATCTCAATCCCGCCGTAACGCTGGCCAACTACATCTACAATATGATCTCGCTGCCCATGGCCGTGGCCTACTTTGTCGCCCAGATGGTGGGCGCCTTCATTGGCTATGGCCTGCTCAAGGCCATCATGCCGGAGAACGCCATCTACAGCACGGCAACGCCCAGTGGCGTCTGCGTGACCTCCGTCCACAGTAGCCTGACGGGGCTGCAGGGTGTGGTCATTGAGTTTCTGATCACCTGCGCCCTGATTGCCATTTGCTGTGGCGTCTGGGATCCGCGCAACGCCAAGTTCCAGGACTCGGTGCCAGTGCGCTTCGCTCTTGCCATCGCCTGCCTCTCCCTGACTGCGGTAAGTTTGTTTTCCGTGTGCTGTGCTACCCGGACAGCCCATTAATGTACGTTGATGGTTCGTTTTCAGGGCCAGTTCACGGGTGCCAGCATGAATCCGGCTCGCTCCTTTGCCCCGGCTTTCTGGAACGGAGCCTGGGAGAATCATTGGATCTACTGGGTGGGTCCCATGGCAGGGGCTCTCGTCTCATCGCTCATCTACAAGCATGCTTTCCGACGCAGGGTGGAGGAACAGGAGGAGCAGGAGTCCACCATGTCCACCAAGCGGACCTCCGAGGTGGAGTTCGCCTAGAGCGCAATAGATCCCCTAGAAGACAAAGTATCCTTTAAGTGCTTTAAAAGCGGCTTAGTTTGTACACCTAACCATACGAATAAATACGTACCATATATTAAATCTACATGCTACCGTGTGGGTGGCGCTTATCACGCCCGCTATTATCGTAGTACACCCGCAGAGTGCTTATCGTTTATAATCATTCGGAAACACTCACAGCAACTGCTGCGAATTAGCCTAAAGATATGAGCTAAAGAGCCAGCTATTGCCAGTGAAAACTTGTCGCTAATTGGAGCACTACCATGAGAGCGGGGCGCCGAACATATGACTTTTTAAAGATTTACAAACGGGATGTGACATACAAAAATCCCTTTCAGATTATTAGTAATTTAGTGCAGTGGCTTGTAGCTTCGAAAGTAGTTTATTGTGGAAGAAAGAGAGCCAGACACACACAACCCCAAAAAATGCTTCACATATTTTACCCGAAATATTCTCCGCGCAGCCTGAAAGTATGCCATAATTTTTAAAGAAATTCTTACAGAGAGCTGTAAGCTGCAGCTTCTTTCCATAACATAATATGTTATGTTTTCGCTTTGTTATGTTATGCTGTAACATAACATGTTAACATAATATGTTATGGTGTGGCCAGTCTTGCTCGGCGACATGGCGCGAAATTTTGTATGAATTTTGAATCGTAAAGCGATAATAATATAAACATATAGACTATAAATAAAAAACTTAAAAATATAAACAGTAATATGCGATAGCCAGCACCTTCCAGCGTTCAGGACAAATTCTAATTGGGAGACGATACTCATCGGACGCCAGAAAGAATGTGCGCTGCTGTCCTAACCTGTCCAGAGATGAAAACGTCACCAGATTAGAGGAGTTTTATTTATATATGTCACATTTGAAAAATAAAAATATACGTACATACATATATCACATTTTTGGCTCCAATAAATTTCCTGTCTTAGCGCCTTTAGAACCCCCACACATTCAGCACAATGAGTAAGCTAATGAGTAAGATATGGACTCAATTCAGGGGTGGCTGCATACTTCGGTAAGTAGGGATTGGATACCACACAATCCGCTAATAGGCTGAACCATTAAACAGGGGAAATTTGATCAAATTCAACAACAATATTACCAGTCAAATTGAAACGGATCTGAAATTCGAAAACCTGATAACGGTAGCTAAACCCATAGATAATGATTGGTCTCTCCCAATATGTAACACTATTCAATTTTCATAGGAACGGCAGCAACTGGTATCACTCACCCACATGCTATCCAAAAAGGTCAAAGGACTGGAGGGCATGGTCTGCGACCTGACGCGTGCCATTAAACGCATGGAGTTTGATAGGAATATGGATCTTGAAAAGAAAGCGAATGTAAAAAGAGCACCAGCCGAGCAACCGACTGAGGCCAGCCCCACCCCGCCACCTGCTCCATCAGACAAGAAAAAAATCACCCAGTGTCGGTGATTTCAGTTGGCTGCAAAAATCCCCCCGTGTGCTTCACAGTATCAACGACTATCAACAGAGCAGAGTGTCTCCCGGCCCTATAAAAACACTCATCCCGAGACTGAGATTGTCATTCAGAAAGCAAAAGATTACAAACGATGAAGCTGTTCGCACTGTGTTGTCTGCTGTTCGCTCTACTGGGATGCCTGGTCGCTCCAAGCAATGGCTCGCCATCTCGTAACAGTGGACCGGCTCCCGGAGGAGCTGGGAATCCTTTTAGGCAGCCGCCCGCACCACGTCCTTTCATCTATGACTCGCCGATACCAAGACAAGGTCAACCCAAGACTATGTACACTTAGATCAACAAATGTGACTTAATAAATTGACTAAACATAAAGACAGAATAACACCTTATTTTGTGTTCTTATTTGTTTGCCTTCAACCTGCAACTCCCGTTGTAGCCACCCATTGCGATTACACAATATACAATTATTGCTGAGATTAGATCACTCCATAAACAATCAATCAAATGGCGGATTTTTCTTCTTATCAGTGAATAAAATGTTTGAAAATTGCTTGCGTGATTCATAGGTAGACTTTAGTTGGTTTTATATGTCAGCTTTACTTTAATTGTCATTTTACCCCATTTTATTCACAGAATCATGTTCATGTAAATTAATATTTTATTCAAATTCAAAGTCATCCACAATGTCTGAAATTCTGCAAATACTAAGCTTCCAATTCGCCAAAAATTGTTGGCAGCCACTGAGAATCTTCAACCAATATCCAGAAGTCAAGTAGGTTAAGTAGACATTAAATTGCAGCTCCTCATAAAGAAATTCATTCTTTTCTATTCCACCAGTCGACTGTCCATCAAATTCTCTTACCTAGGCAGTGTTCGCTCTAATATCCCCTATATGCATGTGGTTTGTCAATCAGTCTTACAAATTCAAGCTCCGTCTTAAAACTCTTCCGTTTCAGAAGCAACGCGATCAGTTGGAGAATATACGCAAGAAAATTATAGAAGAACGGAAATTAATTAAAAATAAAATTGAACAAATTGAAAAGCATATTAAGAACTTGGAGAACTCCAGCGCCAAACCTGAAAAGAAGCCATAGAGAGAGAGACAGATAGTAAAAATCAATCCAGTCATCCTTGAAAAACGGCTCTGCTGTTCAAATACTTTCGTTTCAAATTCTAAATTTTAAAGATTTTGTTTCAATTATGTTTGGAACAGTCTTCAGAGCCATAAGTCTGCTGAAAGCCAGAGATGTACTGGCCACAAGCACACTCAGGTGCGTATGTTCTTCTGGTTTTCTGATTTCTTGCATAACAACTTTTGTCCATTAATCAATAGACGATCCCTCCGGGACAAAGGCATGGGAGAGGAGAAAAATCATTTTAAGAAAATTGTGAGTATTTCAAAACAACCAATCTTTAGGGCATGGGTATACATCTATTTACACCATATGTACCCCAAAGGAAATGGAACAACTAAAGAAAATTAGGCAGAATAAGATTAAGCAAATGATGGAAGAGATCGAGGCCCTGAAGAACGAGATCAAAGCCGTTGAGCGGGGATTCTCCGAAAATGCAAAGTCCTTGAAAGAATCGCTGTTGAAACAAATCGAGCAGCTGGAAAATTCCATCGAGAGAGTTAAAAAGTCGATGGGCGGAGACAATTGAATCAGCAGCTCACGTAGAGTAGGCGAGAATCTTTTCAAAAAACATTCCAGTTTCAGTCAGCCCTTAGAATGCCTTCACTTAATACTACATTTCCATTCAATTCCAAATTTTAATAAATAAATTTTAGTTTCGCATATTTTTTCTTACATTTTACCGAAAATTATCAGCCATGCTAAAAATTCTTTGCAACACGCTTCGACTTGTAGCTGCCCCCAAATGCTGCTTCACGCAGAGCTTCAAGTGAGTATAGCGGGAATCGAGAAAAAGTCTTTTACTATATTTGCATAATATCTATAGGAATGCCAGCAATTTCTTGTACGAAAGAGCCAGAGCCGGAGAGAATATCCACTTCCTAAAAATAGTACGTATTTCTGCTATAGTTGGGCATTGTTAGGACTTTCTCGATTTATTCACCAGCAAAGAGAACAACTGATGCAACTGCGTTCCAAACTTAAAAAGCAACAGAAGGAGGTCATGTCAGAGATTGGCAAAGTGGATGAGCAGATGGTAACAATCGCTGAAAGATCTAGTCAAACCCGAAAACAATAACAGGGGCAAAGCAGGAAAGCAGGGAAATAGTATGACGCAATTAATTATATTAACATTTAATCTAAAATAAATTAAAATCGGAATTTTTGTTCTTTCCTCTTTTTTATTTAAAATAATTTGTATTCTTCATTTACATAGAAGCCTTTCAGGTTCGAGGGATTCCTTCCTTCCTACAAAAACCTGCCTGATATTGGGGAGCTTTCTTAAAAACATACGATATATGTATATAGGGGTGGTTGTTTTTTTGTTTTTATCATATATGGTAACAATTTGTTTTGCAGCGCAAATGGAAAATAAAATATTGAAATGAACTTTCATTTAATATGGCATTCAAATAAACATCAGGGCATACGGCTGGGTATACACATATCAACATAAAGTCTATACAAAGATAAAATAAATACAAGTTCAAATCAAAATCAAAAGACGACTGCTATTTGTGGGGCTGCACATACTAGTGCTCCTCCCACATATCGGATTAACTTAGGTATACAAAAAGAATCGCCTACGGATATACACACATATATATATGGTGATATATATATAAGCAGATCGTTAGTGGTGGTAGCAGAACGTAAAACTGATGTCAAGAACGTAAGTACAATACATTTGTGGTAGTTGAGCAACTTGGAGAATGATATTCCCGTACGAACTAAAACTACAAGCTAAAACTTGACTTGACTTGGTCAAGTGCTGGTGAGGCCAGAAGAGTGTGTGTGTGTGTGCGTGTCTGCGTATTTGTGTGTTTTTGGATGTGTGGTGTGTGAGGTAGGCTTTATGGGCGAGCAAGAGAAATATGGCATACTTTCGAGCGCCTCCTGATCCTCCTCCCTCTCCCTATCCATCTGTGGCTTGGTTGGGTTCTGTGTTCGGATTTTCGCTTCTAGCTTCTCAAATACTGATCAACAATGCCAGGAATGTTGTGGAGCATGCAACTCGGTGTCTCTGTTTGTGACTGTGTGTGTGTGTGTTGGTGTGCGTGTGTGTCTGTGTTGTGGATAGATATGAATCCTGCTTCTAAACTTAGGTGTAAAACTCTATCGCTAACTCTAGCCGATCTCCAGCTACGCCCTCTGCCTGCTACGAACGGAGCCATGGAGTCGTGTGTTAAGGCTACAACTAACATAACATGAAACGCTGCTCGGCTGACGCACTGTGTCCTAACTGGGCAGCCGCTTGCTGGCCAGCTCCTGCAGCTTCTGCAGCGCCAGGGTCTTGTTGATCTCGATCAGGTCACGGCTGTGCTTGGCCGACTGCAGCTGCACCTCGAGTATCTTCATGCGCATCATGTGCTCCTTGCTCTGCATCTCCATGAACAGGCGCAGCTCGAAGTTGCTGCTGCTGGGGCTGGCCGGCGCGACGCCAACGCCAACGCCAATGCCAAGTCCGTTGCTGCTGCTGCTCGATCGCTCAAGGGCCTGGCAGTCCGTCGATGGCGGCATAGATGTGGTCAGAGACTGCGGCTGATCCTCGATGCCCAACACGCTGCCACTGTTGGTGCGCCGACGCTTGGGCGAGGGCTTCAGCAGATCATCATCGTCCTCATTATTGTTGTTGTTGTTATTGTTGGTGCTCTTGTGCTGGTGCTGCAGGGCGACCACCTGAGCTTGTGCCTGTGCCTGAGCCTGGTGCTGCTGGATGGCGGCGGCGGCAGCAGCTGCCGCACTGGGGAACTGGCCAGACCTCAAGGCATTGAGAGCCTCCAGCGTGGCGGATATGTTGTTCATGTTGAAGTTGGCCTGGAAGCCGGACATGTCGGGTCCGGCCGTCATAAAGCCGCCCCCGCCGGCACTCGCATCGAGGGCAACGGCTGTCGAGACTGTGGCAGGACTCTCGGCATCGAGGATTCCGTTGCGACTGTGATTGGGTGACACACTCAGACGCTCGCCCCCGCCTAGGATGTCGCTCTGGTTCAGATGGTGACTGTTGTATTTCTCATCAAAGGTCTCGTTGTGCTCCTCCTCCTTGATGTCCACATCGCACATCTCCTGGGGTGGGGTACGGCTGCTGCTTGAATGGAGAATATCGTTAGTTATCCGTGCGCAAAGAGCTCTCTTGCATTCAATCACTTACTCATCCATTTCGTGCTCATCCCCATTGAATTTGTAGTCCTCGCGGTACTCGAAACCCTCCTCCAGTGCCAATGGAATCTTTGAATAGTCAATGCCATCCAAGGCCTCCGACTTGCAGGCCTTCTTCGCCTCCTGCATAAAATCCCACACCTCGAAGGTGAACGGCGACGGCTTCTTGCGATCGGCCACCTCTGGTCCGAACCTGGCCAGACGATTGTTATAGTCGAGTATCTCATTCCGTGTGCAGGCTGGATGGAAGACCACAAATAGAACATTAATCTAGCAATGGAAATGATAGAAATTCCTCTGACGTACCCTTCATGCGGCGCCACTGCTCCTTGAGGCGATTGCAGGTGCGATCGGTGCCAAATTGATTGGAGAACTTCTGGTGTATGATCTTCCAGGCCTTGTTCTTGACGGCCGTGAGACCGGCATCCAATCGCTTGTTCTCAATAATGCGCATATCCTTCCGGCACAGATCCAGCAGATATTTCTTCTCCTGGTGATTCCAGTTCTGGGTGCGTTCCCGCTTCTTGTACATGTTCATCGATGGATTGTTCATGTATTGTGTCATCTCTGCGAAGAGGAAATTTAGTTATTTTAATTGTCTGGCGATTGGTAGCATAATTTTTTGAGGGGGTTCTAGCTTACCCGTCTTCAAGTCGACGCCCTCCAGCAAACTGTGATTGGAATTCTGCCAGTTGGCGGCTATCTTCATAAAAGCCTCCAGATCGTTGGCCGTATACTGTTTGTTGACCTGCAACGAGTAACGAGAGAAGTGTGAAATGAGAAACGAGAATTCAAAAGGGGAATCGAATCGAATCGCAACGCATCGCATCACAGCGCATTGAATGTTCATTGATTAGTCCTCAAATTTGGCTGTCAGGGTACTTTGGCATGCAAAACTTGTGCCACATTCCCCGCCATAAGAAGCTCGCTTTGAGACGCACTTCAAGATTCAATGAACCTGATGATGATGATGGAGATGATGATGATGGTGATGATCGTTTCGGCCAAACCCGAGACATAATGAAATATTTCGTGTGTCGGAGAGATACTCTGGGCACATCAATTAAACTTTTTGCTGGCCAAGCACAGTAGAGAGTCAATGAAAACAAAAGGATTTTGCAGGTCTGGAATTGTTCTCGTCCCTCCCTACCTCTATCCCTCCCTCGCATTATTCCTCGCTGGATGGTTTCAGCTGACTTTGACATGACTGCTGCGGCAGATATGGCCAGAATGGAGATGGAGATGGAGAATGGCTGTGGAGATGCAGTCGCATTAATTGATTTTCAATTAGCGAACAGGAGACGGGTAGGGTTAGGGTAGGGAGCCATCAAATCAGGCAACAAATGTTTGCAGGCCATAACGAAAATGGGCTAAGAAGAATATGAATATGAATACGAACAATCGAATGACTTGAAAGAAGACAAACACTCAGAGAAACACACAGAGAAAAGACAAATAAATAATGCCATGAAACGCGTTTTAATTTATAAATTAACAAAACTCACACACATACACACACAATACCAGATGCGGACATTTTGCTCTACCCCGTGTGTGTGTGTTTGTGTGCTCGTATCTGTGGTTGAGTGTGGGGTTCAATCAAACGTCGCACTGACAGCCAATTATACCAAGATCAAATACACTCGCAAGCATCTACAAATTCTTCAAGCATATACTCTATGTACCGTATACATATGTACATATACATATATGTTTAAATCAATACATCCATATGGTCGCACATATTGAGCATATCCAATGTTGGCTACAGTGATGCTAGCCTACAATGGCTAACGAGTTGATTTGAAACGATCTTTGGAATCCATGTAATTATTCAAAGGTTTAGTAAGATTGGATATAAAGCTTTGAATAGTTCCCTTTACTGGAGCTGTTCGACTTTATTTCGTCTTCATTTGGCTCTCCCCAAAACTCTTCCATTGATCACCCTGCCCTGCCCTGCACTGCATACCCCCCACTCCTACCCCATCAGACCATCGTCTCAATCTATAAGTACGTTTTATGGTGCTTTATTTTATTTCAATTTTGTACAGCGACCGATTCCGGTGTCTCCTCCTCCTCCTCCGGACACCCACAAGTCTTTATGGGGGGGAGGGAGGTCTGTAGAAACTGCGCCATGTGTTCAGTATTTATGCCGTATCTGATTTACAATTTATATATGTACATATGTATGTGAATGAATGTTGTGTATAAGTACGTAGATATGTGGGGATACATTTGTATTTATCGCATACGCTCGACATGTCTATGAGAGAGATCCAAAGGAAACTTAGTCATTGGCATCGACAACGACGACAGTGGCGCGTGCGCTTATTATTATATTCATTTTTACTCTTCCTATATGTACAAGTATGTACTCATACAGATACATACTTGGATGTACATACATTCTACATATTTATTAACAAACAATTAATAATTATTGTCGAATATTATGGTAGTGTTTAAATTTTAGTCATGAGCTGCTGACTGGCTGCTGGACTTTTGGTTGCCACTTTTATTTTTTGGGCCCAGAATAATTCATTGAAATTCGAGGCGACGCGCACTCTGCTGCTCCTCTGAGTGTGTGTTCTGGCCAGGGTGGGGCTTGCTGCCGGCCAATTTAGTCTAAAGATGAAGTTGAAAGATGCGAGAAATGTGACATGGGCATACTGGAAATTCTGGCACCTCTCAAGTGCCTCTACCCCAAATGCCGCAATTTATAGTCAAGTCTTGTCTGGCAAAAGTACATATCTAATTCCATTCCAATTCCAATTGTTTCTAAGATCGTTTAATGGGCCACCCGACCAAAGAAATATTTATATTAGATTTAATATTTCCTGTGTTGCCATTTGGGATATTTGGTATTAGCTTTAAGGCAGTGCATAAAGTATGGCACATACTTATGCAAAACGATCTAATCGTTTTCTTTTTGGCACTGTACTCTGAAAACAATATACCCAAAATAATCACTCACTCCAATCAATGTGACTTCAAAATTAAGCATTGAAATTAAATAAGCAAACTGGTTTAGATTGCCTGCGAGTGTGTGTGTGCGTGTGTGTGTGTGCCTTGGCTTTTTATCTATATTTTTTTTTTGTCGGTTGTTAATATGAAAACGAAAAATAATTACTGTATCTACATGCCTTAACAATTGTGAACCTACACACACGGAGCAGAGCAGAGTAGCGCAGAGCAGCGCATAGTAGAGCAACAAAAGTCAACCTTGTGCCTTAAAATAAAGCGAGGCATTGTTGCCCACTACCACCAGATATCAGATACAAATACCGGAGAGAGACCAGAGACCAGAGACCATGCCCAAGACCATACTCGATATACAATATGTAAGTACGTATTCCGAAACGTAATCCAATGCCCGGGCAGGCGTCCGTGCTGTCCGTTGTGTGGGTAATTACCGCAAATTGACAAACGAACGAACGAACGAACAACTTTACTTATTGTATTCGGCGGCATGTCTTAGTACGGTGAACTATTTCTGTCAACAAAATGTTAAAGCCGCGTTAGAGTTCAAACTAAATGGAAAATTAAAATTTAAATGGTAATTTGTAATGCGGAGTGGGGCATAAATGGAGCACACACACACACACACACACACACGTCACACACACATTAATATGGAGATGGAGTACAGCTATGGGCCTGCCCTGCCCTGCCTGATGGTTGTGCCCTGCCACTGATTCTGAACCTGGAGAGAATCGTTAAACTTTAGAGCACTTGAAATGATTTTACAAATTCTCTGTTATTTCTACTACTTCCCCACATTTTGCTGCTGCTGCTGCTGCTGCTACTGCTTTGCTGCTCTTACCGCTGCTGCTGCTGCTTTGTTGTTGTTGTACCCCTGCGTTGTGTAGCATAAATTTATGTATTATAATAATTATACAGAGAAAACTAAAAACGAAATGTCATCGAACGTTCAAGTGGCCGAAAAGAGCTCCTCGTTCCCGTCGTTCTCCCTGCATTTTGGGTCTTTCGAGTGGTGTTGTATGTATGTACGTGGAGTGGCTGGCAGTTATGGCATTCATTGATTTGAATGCTTAAATCAAAGAAAAGAATTTGTTGTGCGCTGTTTATTGTTCTAAGGTTGGTCGGAGCAGCGTAGAGCCTTAAGTGGCAGCCGCTGGGAATGGCCCGATTGGGAGCTCCAGGTCGGCAGCTCCCCTCCACAATTCAAGATGCGAACATTTCTCGCTCTACCGACTACTCGAACAATTTCTCATCGTGGGAGTACTCATACTCAAACTCAAGAGACAAAGAGAGAGAGCGAGAGAGAGAACGCGACTATTACCAATAATAATGGAAGGAGTGTCAATATTTTTAGAATGATATTTAAAATTGAATTTCTTAATTGCTTTACCCGAAACATTAGATAAAACAGGAAATCGTAGTTTTTCAAGTGTTGTTCTTGAACTAGAGAGGGAATGCTGGCAGAATGATATTGCTTATGATTATTTTTAATTATATTTCCATGACAAATGGGCTTATCTTTCAGTTTACAGTTAAATATTATTTCATTCTTATATTACTTTCATTCCTACAGTTTATAAGTAAATTCTAGAAATGCTAAGAACGCCATTTCTTAGCATATTTTGTTTTTATGATAATAGTCATAGCTTGCTAATAGATTACTCTCATATAGATCTCAGTTTTTCTAGAGTCTGAAATTGATATAATGCCATAATGCTGCTGCTGCTGCTGCTGCTGCTACTTTTGCCGCAGCTGACGGAAATTGACTCATGGCTCTGGCTCTGGCTCTGGCAATGGCTCAGGGCGAATTATGCTCCAGGTGTGCATGGCATGACACGGGTGCCGAAACAACAAATTTATTAGAAATTTGTTGCACACAAACACAGCACAGCACACACTGCGACAGCCACTGTGGCACATTTATGCAAACAAATAAACTAATTTCATGACGCACACGCGCGCCTGCGCAGTTGTCAGCAGCGCAAAAGTTTTGTGTATCTGTGTATAGGTATCTGTGTATCAGTATCTGTGTGCTACTTACAATTGTAACTAGCTAGCTACAAAAAAAAAAAAAACCTTAAAAAAATGTAAGATTTTTCTTTGTCAAGCATTTGCCTTTGTCTACTACGGGCCTGGCCTACACCCAAAAAAAATAGAGAGAGAGAGAGAAAAAGCACTAGGTTCATCGACTTTTCTACTCCTCATCGAGCGACGACAAATTGCGCTTTGTGCTGCGACAATTGCCAGGCATCGAATGGGAAGTGTCTCTCTCTCTCTCTCTCTCTCTGTCTGCTCTGCCCCTCTTCACCACCCTGGTAATGCTGTCTCAACGGCGCATGCGTAGGTCTAAACTTACTAAATTATTATTGTTGTATTTCATTAGTCAGCCCCAAACCCAAACCCAAAATCCAAGCCTCGCATACGAAATTGCGCAGCTGTGCATAGTTTTCAAATCAGACTGAGACTCCAAAAGGAGGGTGGGGTATAGTGGTGACTGCAGGGGGGGATTGAGCAGGGAGGAGGGAAATGGAACTGAAACTTCGACTGTGACTTCGACTTCGACTGTGGCTGTGACTGTGACTGTGTGACAGTCATAGATATCGTCAAGTCAAATGGATTACCTTTATCTTTGATTCACATAGTCCCCCCATCCCCCAGCCCCCCGCAAAAACAGCAAACCAACCAAGGGAAACAATTGGAGCAGTCCACATTTGTACGGGCATACCTACATATGTACATACATATGTATAGTGGGAGATATGTACA